TAATACAATCACCAAGAATATAGCAACAGGAATGCTAATAATCCTTTATATACGTATATAGCTACACGGATTCTAAAATACTTTCACCTACATTTAGTGCTTGATCCTCATGACTGCCTGCTGACACAGCCAGGGGAGATTATGAACGTGGCTTTAAAGAAAAAGCAACGCTTTGAGAGGGTAACTATCTTAAAAAGGTCAGATGCCCAAGAGGTGATTGGTAGAGCTAAAACAAGAACCCACACCTTCAGACTTCTTATTCAATGTTCTGCCACCACTCTTGTTTGCTCTGCTGGCCCACAACTGCATGACATGATTTTGTTCTCTGCCATATCCCCAGTGTCCAAAACACTACCCGACACATAGTCAGGGCTCAATAAATATTTGCTCAATAAGGAAATGAATATGAGATCCCATTCGTATATAATATGGTTATTCAATGTGCTGAACCATTATCAGGCCCAACTTAATAATGCTATGGTTATATTTCATCTATTTGGTTATGATTTAAATGGGCTGGTGCTTTCAGCAATATGTCAGATATGAGTTATGCTTAAGTACTTACTAGAAACGGCTGAGGAGGGAAAAGGCCTTGTGAGAGCGTCACAGGCAAGTGGGAAGAGATAAGGAAGTGGATGCGAGCCCAGGGCATACCTCAGACTCCACATAGCACTCCGAGGAGGGGTATCACTCATCATTTGCGGGCAGTTGCTGGAGGCCAATAGTTCAGAGAAAAACTAAAAAACCCTCTTTATAATATAATTCAATTCACATATTCAATTATAATATAAAGTATTTATTTTTTTACTGGTGACTGAATAATTAGAACCCATTTCTGTGGTTAGCACAATTAAAAACATGAAAAAAAACCCAAATATTAAAACAGTAGCTAATATTGTATAATATACTTAAAAATTGAGTTAAATATACTGAAATACTTGAAGAAATTAACAGCTTACAGTTATTAAATGTACTTTCCGCTGTGAGCTGTACTAAATGTTTTATATATGTTACTTCCTTTGCTCTTTACAAGTCTATGATTGTTGGGTGGTGACACCCGTAGGTGCAGATGAAGAAGCTGATCCTAATAACATATCCACCTCTGGGCATGTGGGCATACTACTTAGCCTCTCTAGACCCCAGTCTCTTCTTCTGCAATGTGGGAATAATAATAATACTGTTTCTCAAAGGCCTGGATGTAAGTGGGACAGGAGACCACATTTGAAGGCCTCTAAGACAGTGTTCGACAGAGTAGACACAAGATTCAATCATCCCCTTAAAATTCAGTTCCAAGGGGATATTTTGATGGGTACATTCATAACTAACAATACAACAGAAAAAAGTTCTAAAACAATTCCTCTTATTCTCCCCACTCCCTCCAACGATTTATAGGACATTCTGTAAACACAAAAAGATGAAGAATTAAGTACTAGTGTTTACTGAGTAAATACCATGTGTCAGGCACAAAGATACATATGTTTTATTTAATCTTATCAACTCTATGAGGTGAAACTATTGTTACCCTTCTACAGATACGTAAAGCGATGACAGAAGAGGTAACGTATTGTCCAAGGCCCAGTGTCTATAGTTATGCTAGAATTTGAACAGAAACAGTATGGGTCTGGGGCCCCCCCTTTCTACCACCCTAACTGCCTACCCTAGGTCTCAACTAGAATGAATGTCCCAGTGCTGGCAAGCTTTGGCTAAATGGCTATTGGTGGGGAGTCAATACCTATCACCATAGCCTTTTCAGGTAGCGAGTGGTCAATCTAAGTGAAAATTCTGAACTTGTATAGCTTATGACTCAGCAATTGTACTTTGGGGGAAATCTTTGCTATAGAAATAAAAGCATTATTTGGTAACAATTCTCTCACACACACTCATCATCTTTATTTTGGTATTCTTATACTGGCAAGACATCAGAACATCATCTAAATATTTGTCAGCTGGAAAAAAAAAAAGGATAATCAGAGTGTATTAAAATATGGCCACTACATTAAGCAAAAAAACCCAAGTTTTTTTTTAAAAAAAATGAGTAGAATCTATTCCAGAAGGATGTATAACACGCATCTCAAATTTAACCTATCGAACACAGACCTCTTAATTTCTGCTTCCCTGCTGAAGAACAGCTATTCTCCAACAGACTGTAATAAATGGCACCGCTATCCATCTAATTGCTCAAGCCAAAAATCTAGATTTATTCATGCTCTATTTCTTCTCAGTTCCCATATTTAATCAATCAAGTCTGATTCAACACCCAGAACACCAAGAATCCACTCACTTTTCTTTGCCTCCAACACCAAACCGCAGTCTTCATCCACCTGCAAACAGGTCTCATGTGGGTCTCTACCTCTTAGCCTATTTCTTGTACCTTCCTGCAGTCCATTCTCTACCGAGTAGACTGTACACTGAATCACCTCATTCCCCTTCACTGGTTTCCTGGCACAAATAGGCTAAAACCCAAACTTCTCACTGACTCAAAGCTCCCGCCCCATTACCACCCTCCAGGCTCCAAGTATGCCTCTGGCCATATCCGTCCAACGCCCCAGCACATCCTCCCTTGAGAGTTATTTCTGTCCTCCCTACAAAGAAAGCTCTTCCCCTTTATTTCTGTGTCTGGCTTCTTACCATTTTCATCTTATTTACAGTTCACCTTGTCCAAGAGTGCTTCCCTAACACCAGATGAAGTGGTCACAAGCTACCTTCCCTATTTTAATTCCCTGCAAGGCACTGACCACTACTGATAATTCTCTTGGTGTATTTATTCACTAATTTCCTCATTAGAATGTAAGCTGAACCACAGCAAGGAGCATTCTTTTTTATTCATACCCGTGTCTCTCATCCCAAAGACTTCCTTATGCATAACACGCACTCCCTGCATGCTTGTTGAATGGAAAGGATGTATTGTATACAATTGAGTTTTTACTAGAAGAGGTATTATTCTCATGTATAGCTGTTTATTCTTGTGGTAGAAGAAAAGGAAGTATGGAAGTATGGAAGAAATATGGAAAAATACTAAAGAATAACTTCCTCAGGGAGGGGGGGAAAGGAAAATTAACTTTTTTCCCTAATAATTCTGCATGGCTTGGTTATTTACAATAAGGATGTATTTCTTTTTGGAATTAAAAATACTTCAATAAATAAAAATGTGAAGAGAGTGTAATATTCCCTCAGCTGAGGAGATACTTGATTATATAGCTATCTGATGTATGTCTAACTCTAGAAGCTGATCAACGTGATCGCAATCTTGTACTAGTAATTTCTCCATTAATAAAGTAATTATTTAAAGATATTGAGATCATAGATAATAGGTATTAAAGTGCTTTGAGGGGCGCCTAGGTGGCTCAGTGGGTTAAGCCGTTGCCTTCAGTTCAGGTCATGATCTCAGGGTCCTGGGATCGAGCCCCACATCAGGCTTTCTGCTCAGCAGGGAGCCTGCTTCCCTCTCTCTCTCTGCCTGCCTCTCTGCTTACTTGTGATCTCTGTCTGTCAAATAAATAAATAAAAAATCTTAAAAAAAATAAAGTGTTTTGAAACTATAGAGAAAGAGGTAATGATGGTTACCAGAGGGGAGGGAGATGGGGAGATGGATTAAATAGGTGATGGGGATTAAGGAGTACACGTGTCCTGATGAGCATTAGGTGATGTATGCATTTACTGAATCACTATATTGTACACCTGAAACTAATATCACACTGTAAGTTAACTAACTGAAATTTAAATAAAAGCTCAAAAAAATAAATAAAAACAAAAAGAGTTTTTTCTAATAAACTCTGAAATGCCCAACTTTAAGGAACTTCAAGGAAAGAAATATTCTTATGTTAAGTTTTAATGTGTTTAACATAATTTTATATTACTTTTTTTTTCTTTTCTTTTTTCTTTTCTTTTTTTTTTTTTTTTTTTGAGGAAGGGGTGGAGAGAGCAAGAGAGATAATCTTAAGCAGGCTCCACACTCAGCACGGAACCCAAGGCTGGGCTCAATCTCATGACCCTGAGATGAATTGAGCTGAAATCAAGAGATACCACCTAACACCAGTTAGAATGGTAAAAATTAACAAGACAGGAAACAAACGTTGGCAAGGATGTGAAGAAGGGGGAACCCTCTTACACTGTTGGTGGGAATGTAAGCTGGTGTAGCCACTCTGGAAAAGAATATGGAGGTTCTAAAAGATCTTAAGAATAGAGCTACCCTACACCCCAGCAATTACACTACTGAGTATTTATCTCAAAATACAGATGTAGTGAAAAGAAGGGGCACATACACCCCAATGTTCATCGCAGCAATATCCACAACACAGCCAGACTGTGGAAGGAGCTGGGATGCCCTTCAACAGAGGAATGGATCAAGAAGATGTGGTCCATATATACAATGGAATATTACTGAGCCATCAGAAAGAATGAATACCCACCATTTGCATCAACACAGATGGTACTAGAAGGGATTATGCTAAGTGAAGTAAGTCAAGCAGAGAAAGACAATTATCACATTGTTTCACTCATATGTGGAACATAAGGAATAGCACAGAGGACAAGGGAGGGAAAACTGAACGGGAAGAAATCAGAGAGGGAGATAAACCATGAGAGACTCTGGACCCTGGGAAACAAACTGAGAGTTACAGAAGAGAGGGAGGTGGGGTGGGGTAACCGGGTGATGGGTATTAAGGAGGGCACGTGTTGTGATGAGCACTGAGTGTTATATGTAACTAATGGATCACTGAACACTACATCAAAAACTAATGATGTACTTATACGTTAGCTAACTGAACTTTAAAAAAAAAAAGACGCTTAACCGACTGAGCCACTATTTTATATTACTAGATGCCCCTATTTTATATTACTTTATAATCCTAAAATACTTTCTAATTAGAGAAATTCCCTATTTAACAAATTCTATGAATTTGGAATACCAGATACTGAAAATCAAAACTGCTAGATTTGAAAAAAAAAGAATCCTGACAAATCCATCAAAGTCACTACATGGTAATTGGGAGCCATCTTACCTCAACAGAAGACGGGGAGCTTGATGGTACTGGAAAGGGAACAACAGCCATCTGATTGACTGCATCTTCATTTCTGTGGATGTGAAAATAGGCAGAATCAGTACACAGCAAATGCTAAGTTTCTGGTTCAAATAACAACCATTTCCTCTGCTCAAAATGTATACAAAGCACCTTAGAATAATAATATGCACAAATATATACTGGTTTTAAGCTTGCAAAGCTACTAAGCACACCAAGGGATATACTGGCCCAGGAACACCGGGAAATGGTTTCTAGTGACAGAGAATGATGATGCTAGGGGTGAGCTAGATCCTGCTAAGTAAGTCGGGTGCTGCTGGGGATCATTTTGGAAAGACATCAACTCTCTCAGCACTGCGGAGTATAAATTTTTCAAATGGCCGTGTTTAACCTCTCGGCCCATTAATGTCTAGAGCATTTTGTTCTTTGAACTGGAAAGGTTCCCGGCCTCCTCACTTGGCTTCTAACTTTGTTTTGCCAAGTGAAGGATGATGCCAAATGAAGGGATGCGTACAAAAGGCACTCCATGGGTGGACACTGTGAGGTGTGATGGATGGGGAGAGCCGAGATCCAAACAGATAATGCTTTGTGGGTTAATTCGAAGCCTCCTCATCATAATGGAAGCAGAGGTGGTGGGAGATAACATTCATCACCAGGGCCAGAGGCACAGAACAATTCCTAGAATACCAGCTCTAATTATTTGGACCTATTTCCATGACATTACCACCAGCAAATGATAAGCAGTGGTTCTATGGGAGATCTAACCTTTACTCTTCATTCATGACGCAAAACCAATATAATTATCTTAAGATTTATGGGACGTTTGACTTTAGGTTTCACAGTATAAACCATGGGAGATCACAAAAATGCTTCTTCCTGGTATGCAAAGACCAAAGACTCCTCACAGATCTCTTCCCATATGACCATATTCATATTCAGGATAGCCACTCCCTGATTTGGAAGGGCACTCAAAATCCATCCCCATTTTATTTTTTACTTCTCACCCACTGGAAAAAATCCATTGGTCTATGTCATTCTTGCTTTGCTGCTTTAATTCTATCACTGCCTTTACCTGAAATGTCTGTCTTTATTATAATCCACCCATCCTTCTCCTCCGGTTTGAGTTCAACAGCCTCAAGCAGGTGAATTACTCCCTTAAGTAAAAAGACCATCTATATTTTATTGATGTCTTCCAAATTCACGTAGTTAGCCCAGGTCTTTTTCTGAGCTTAATATCTGATCTCTAACTCCTACTTTATATCTCCACTGGATGTCTCTTACAAGTATCTCAAATAAAATAGATCTCTTATTACCACTCAGTCACTGGAACGTTCCATAATCAATCCTCCTCATTTGAGTAAATGTTAACAGTGTTCACAGAGTTATTCAACCAGGAACCAAAGAGGCACTCTTGAAACCTCTAATCCCTCAACTGTATATCCAATCAAGAAGTCTTGTTGATTCTACCTTCAAAACGTATCTTGAGTTTTTCCACTTATTTCCATCCTATCCTAGGGCAAGCTATTATCATTTCTTTCTTCCTTTTCTCTCTTCCTTTTTTTTTAGTAGACTCCATGCCCAGTGTGAAGCCCAACATGGGGCTTGAACTCATGACCCTGATATCAAGACCTGAGCTGAGGCTGACAGTTGGACATCCAACCAACTGATTCACCCTGGTGCCCCTAGCTATGACCATTTCTCACCAGAGTTAATATAAGAGCACTGTATTTAGTCTCCCTACTTATATAGTCTTTATCCTTTCTCCAACCTATTCTTCACCCAGCAGAGTTATTATGGCTTTAAATCTGATTATATTTCTACATAAATCTGATTATCTTTCTATCCCCTGCTTAAAATCCTCCTATGGCTTCTTATTACCCTTAGGATCAAGTCCACAATTTTGGGGGAGGCTATAAGGCCTTGAGCGGTCTGCCCCAGCCCCCATCTCTGGCTTCCTCTTGTTCTCTCTTCTCCTGACTCACTTTGCTCCAGTCCAGCTACTTGAGATTTCTTTCCATTTCTCACCTGAGCTAAACTCCATCCACCTCAGGGCACTTTCTAGCCCTATCCTCTTCTGTTCTGCATGTCTGTTGCTCAAATCCTTTGTCTGATTTGTGCTCTTATTTCTTCTTCATAGCTGACCACAAACATCGTTTCCTGAAGCAAGCCTTCCAGGAGCTCCATTGTATGTGCATAGCACCCTATACAAAGGTTGCAGTTCTGTGTCTTTCATAATTTACCTAACTGATCTGTATGAACACGTGCTTCCAATCTGCCTTCCCCTAGATGGTAAACACTCCAAGGACAGGAGGCTTGTCTTTCCTATTCTCTCTCATATTATCTAGGGCAAACAGTGCCTGGCAAATGGTCTATCCTAACAGAGTTGTTAAATGAACTGGACTGCAAGAATTCAATTGAACTGTGTGAATTCTAGGCTGATGTAAATTCTTTGTGGAATGAAGCAGAGTATAAATAAAGGCATGAAGTCTAGGTACCATTTCTTATTCTAACCTTCTGAGAGTCTTGGATTATCTCGCGTATGAGCCAAACCAAAGCAAAAAGGGGGTAAAACTAAAACCGAAAAGTGACAGTGCATGAAGAATGTATGTTTTTTTCTGACACTATTACAGATGCCTTGAGCATGCACTAATTATATTATGAGATGGCTACTGTTTTTCAGGGAGTACAATCCATTCCTTAGCAGTTTGCTCATATAGGAAGAAGTAATCAGTTACCTTTGGATAAGTAACAGCATTTTCAAAGTGGAAATTCCCTTTTGCATTCATTTTCCTTCATTGAATAACACAATAGAACTCAGCTTTAGCTAAGAGCTGAAAGCCAAGGGGACCTGTCTGCTCCAGATTCAGAGCTCATGGGGCTGAGTATATTTGGCAGTAATTAAGCAGATGGCTTTTCATACTTCTTTCGAAGGTTACTAGCATTAAAAATATGGCTGCACATAAATTCTTAGTGAGAAGTCATGATTACCTGGACCAAGTTACTTCACATCAGCCAAGTTATCCCTTCATAATTTAATGGTTTTCTCTAAATTAGTATGACTTTAATGGCCTTTAAATTCCACATTAATTTTTTTTTTAAACTCACAAAATAGAAAACCTACAATTACTCTCAATAGAGAGAAGGAAACTGCTTTAAGAAGTTACATTTCATAATCCTTTATAATCCACTTACTAGGGAGTGTTCACACACCTCCACAGCAAGCAAGGAAAGATCTGACAATTTTAAAGAGAAGTGAGTAGCAAGAGGGAAGCCAAAGGAGAGAAGGCATTTAGACTTCAAACAAGCAGTTAACCTGAATGACTTCTGGGGACCCTCCCAACCCTCCTCTCCTATGATTCTCATAAGGAATAAAATCTGTTTGCTTCATAACTTTCCTTTCCTTTCTAGGATAATTAATGTAAGTTTCTTAGGCCCAGGTGCCCCATACAGGACACAATCAGAAATTGTAATTGCTTGTTGGTATTTTATAATTATCTTTAACAGCTGTTGAGAGAGGTAATGGGATGCCACCATGGGTAAGGGAATAGTTTTCCAGAGTACAGAACCCTGCATGTATATATTCCTGTATCATTGTATTTGCTATGCTCTATTAAAATCATCTGTGCTCTTCTTTCTCCTTCTCCAAGCCCAGGGATGGGATCTTATCTCTGCATCCCCCTAGCCTGCAACAGAGTACCTGATAGAGAGTACTGTTGAATAAAAGTGATCTTAACAAGGTAAGAAAAAGATATGGAAGCAGAACTATCAAAACTATGCCCTGAGTTTCTCAAGCTATTTCAATGAATTAATGACAGTATACTGCCTTCAGCCAGGCAGCTATGAGTATCTGCCACCTTAACGGACATTTCCTGGGGGTCTGCACAGGTCACAGTGATTCCCTGAAGGAACCAGAGTAGCAATGTCTATTGTGTAACATTGATGGTCTGCCTCAACCGCAGTGGATGTAGGGGGCAAACACCTGTCTTAGTTTGGGCCAATCAGATTCTTTCCCAGGGACTCAAAATGTAGAGCAGACACAAAGATCTCGAGTGTAATAGCTGGATAATACCAATGGAAATGCTCAAGGCTAAAGAGGGGGTTTAGACGTCCCTTCTGAGGATGACTCAGCAGTCATCCTGGCTCCTTTTCTTCAGCCTTAGCTGTATGGCTCCTTAAGAGTCCCTGAGACATCCCTGTATTCTTACAATGCATTCTCCTTTTAATTTAAGCTGGCTAGGATTTACTTTAATTCACTGAAACTCAGTAATATAAGTCTGATTTTGTTTTGAATATATATATATATATATATATATATATATATATATATATATATAAGTTTATTTATTATTTATACTATGGGTACAAAGATGAATAAAACATCATTCCTGGTGTTGATGATATTAGCAATTAGTGAGGACTATAGCTACACAGTGAGGAATGCATGTCTGCATGTCTGCTGATATTAGCAATTAGTGAGGATATTAGCAATTAGTGAGGACTATAGCTAAATAAGCAAACAATTATAATAATGGAATTACTATACAGCAACTGTCAATTTAGTTTTTCTCCAAAAGGATGCTAGAAACACTCCCAGTTCAGTTTCTTGTTTGTGGAATATATTTATATATTCTACACATTCTAGGACCTGATTTCAATTTTATTTTGTTATAAAATACATCCACTGGTACTTGGTGTTAGGCAGAATTCTAAGAAGGTTCCCAAGATTCCTGCCCCTGGTTTACATACTGAATAGGATCAATTGCAATTCAATGATTAGGTTATATTATACAGCACGGCTGATTCTAAGACAAAGATTATCATATTGGCCTGACCTAATCACATGGGTCCTTCAAATCTGGAGATTTTACTTCTCAGAGCTTCAGTGCCCTATGTTCTAAATTAGTAGGCTGTCTCACATGAATCCTAAGGAATGCGTGGAGGTCAGAGACAGGAAGTCAGAGATTAGAAGCACCACTGCTGGTCTGAGGATTATGGAAGCCATGTAACAATGAATGTGAATGGGGTGCCTGGGTGGCTCAGTGGGTTAAGGCCTCT